CACACACACACACACACACACACACACACACACACACACACACACACACACACACACACACACACATCTCACTGTACAGTCTTTCTGGCAGGCACTGCGGGTGAGTGAGGGGAGGACAGATTAATGTGCCTCTTTGCTGTTTGTATCTGAATAGAGCGTAAAGTTATGTGCATTTGAATTTGGGAGGGGGTGAGGTGGAGGAGAAGGAGGAGGAGGAGGAGGGCAGTCTGTCGGCTGCAGAATTCCATCACTCTTGGCAACCGTTGTTGGGTTACCACGGAAACGCACTGCAATGTTCTCTGCTTCTCTTTTGTACTCCTCCATCACTCCTCTCTCTCTCTCTCTCTCCCTTACTCTATCCCATCTTTATTGCTGGTCGGCTTCCTCCTTGCGTTGCTACGGCGATGCTCTGGGACATTCAGTGGGATCATTTTGTCACTGCAGTGTCGGCGCACAGAGCTGGCACTGCGCTCCGAGATCTCTGTGAGACGTGTTTTGCTGTTTTTATGCTCCCTGTTTTGTCTCCTTCCAAATTCTCGTGACCTTTAACCCCTCCACTTCCCTTACCAATCAGTCCGAAATCAGCGCTTTGGACTGGCCGGGCTCATCAGGTGACACCACAGAAAGTTGGATGAAGTTTCGCTGAACTGAAGGCTCCGATCAGTGTTGATGTTTTCACGACTCTGTCGGACTGAGAGACGTCCGGACACTTCACAGAGACTGAACTCTGCTCGGTGAGCTCTGCCACAAACCGAGATGAACGAGGACGCGGAGGAGGCGCAGCTGCCTGAGAAGTTGCTGGAGGCTGAGGAGCAGGAGTTGCAGCAACAGGAGGGAGAACATGAGATGGAAGATGAAGTGAAGGACCAGGAGGGAGAGGGAGAGAAGGAGCAGGAGGAGGTCCATCCGCTGGAGGAAGACCTGGAGGAAGAGAAAGTGCAGCAACAGGATGGAGATACTGAAGATGTGTATGGGCAGGAGGAAGAGCTAGAACAAGAGGAGGTTGCAGCGCATGAGTGGGAAATACAAGAGAAGGTGGAGGAGGTTCTGAAGCAGCAGGAGGACGGGCTGTCTGAGCAGATGCTAAAGCCAGAAGGGGAACAGGGCCATCAAGAGGAGCAGGTACAGGAAGAAGAGAAGGAGGAGGAGGAGGTAGAGATCAAAGAGGTGCAGGAAAGTGAGCTACAGCACCTTGAAAAGGAGGAGGAGGAAGAGACTGAGGAGATGCAACAAGAAAAGGAGGTGCAGCAAAGTGAGGTGTTACAACAAAAGGAGGAGGAGGTAAAGCAGACTGAGGAGCTGCAGCAACAGCAGCAACCTCGAGAGCAGGAGGAGGAGGAGGAGGAGGAGCAGGAGGAGGTGCAGCGTGAGGAGATGTCACGGACTGAGGAAGAGCAGAAGGAGCAACAGCAGTCTGAGGAGGTGCAGGACTTTGGGGACGCTCTGGAGCAGAATCACAACAACCAGGTCCTGATCCGGCTCAGAGGAATGTGAGTAAACACAGATCACGCAGTCAGCTGGCTGATGATGTAATGTCAGTGTGTTGATGCAATAGCACTATCGATAATTGGTGATCACGCTGTGAGGATCCGTGAGCTGCTGTAAGACTGACAGCCTCGGGGACGGCATCGGTGCGGTTGACCGGTTGCCTTGGTGATGCTGGCACGGACCGACGATGGAGGGGAAGACAAATGACAGAAAATGAGCGGGCAACGGTGGGCGTGCAACATCACTTAACACGGGAGAGAGAGCGTGTGTGTGTGTGTTTGATGAAGTCACAGCTTCTCGTCTGTCTGTCAGATTCTTTCTTAGCAGCTGACTCCTACGCTGCAGCGGAACAGCCTCGCCACATCTGTTTGAATTTGAGGCGATCACACACAAAAAACAAATCAAAAGCAGCAACAACAACAACAAAAAAAGAGCCCAGTGTGTTTTTTTAAATTCTCCATTGTTGCCATGGTAACAACTGAGCGTTGCGATGCAGCAAACTCTCAGCAAAGAAAGACACATCAGCAGGGAGATGGACGAAAACAGAGACAGAGATGAAGGCAGGGCATGCGAACACAAAATGTTTGAATGTCCTGTTGATGCTTCAGTCTGTGAATTACAGCCTCATTCATCACACTACGCTCATCATCACTTGCGGATCCTTTCTTTGACAAATCTGACAACACACTTTGAAATGCTCCTAAACTGAGCATTTCAAACCAGTGAATGCCCTGTAGGCATGAAGCAATGAATCCTAGTAGTCCAAGTAAGGATTTTAAGTGACTGCTGTTTAAAGTCGCCAAATTGAAATATGTACACTTTTGTTTTAGATGTGTAAATCGTCCATATAACACACAATAAACATTTTTATTATTGTAATATATAAAAAAAGCTATGTGTTTAAACAAATCTTTGCTATGGCAAGAACTGCAACTCACAACTGCTGGTTTGAGCCTCCTGTTGAGCTGTGATGAGTTTGTATGTTCTCCCTGTGTGGCTTTTCCTCCTAGAGTATATAGACAAGCATGTTAGGCTAACTGGTGACTGTAAATTGCACCCCTTGGTATGAACATAAGAGTTGGCAGTTATCTGTCAGTCTGTTTTTATGTATTACAACATAAGATAAATTTTCTACTTCTTACTAGATGTTAAAATGAGGTAAATTCAAGCTCAAATGAACAGCAGCACAAAACATGTCACACAGTGTCGCTGCTGTTTTAACAAAAGCCAAAATTCAGTAGCTTTTAGAATTACTCTTCTTTACCATACTCTTTCAGTTCACTGAAGTTTGCCGGCACAGTTTTGATTATAACCCTTCTGCAGACGGTGGCTGAGTAGCCATTGCTGTTATACTTTTTTTGAAGTCTGCCTCCACAGGCCCATGTGCAGTTGTCGCACTGTATTGTAAAGTCTATGTGGATGGGTACACATGGTCTCAAAAACAGTGGCAGGCATTCAGACATCGGCACAGACCTTCAAACTGATTATCTGATGATGGAATTTCCGTCACTCTGACCTGAACGGACCCTTGTAGGCTCACGGATGCGGAAAGTATAATCAAAGCTCAACGCTTCAGCTGCATGATTTCAATCAGGCTGAGTTCTGGACTTTGACCGAGTCTTTGCAACACTTTGATGCTTTTCGTTTTCAGTCATTTTATTGTACATTTGCTGCTGTGCATGGGATGATTGTCACGCAGCATGATCCAGTGTAGGACAAGTCTTAGCTGTTGGACCGAGGACTTCACATTTGACTCTAGAATACTTTGGTAAACAGAGGAGTTTATAGAGTAACTGACTCAGTAACTGTAAGGTGCTCAGGTCCTGTAGCTGCACCACCACCACCACCTTGCTTGACCAGTGGTATGAGCTGTTTATGCTGATATGCTGTGTTCTGCCCCGATGCTCCAGACCAGCAAACTACTGTCATGTTTTGTAGCTCATCTGGGGTTTTATTTGCCTAATTTTAAGATCTGCTGGAGACCAGATTATTTTTATTGTTTTCTTGATATGTGTTTACTTTCTTTTTACCTTGAACGTGTCTTGATCAGCATTCACGGTGCCTTCACAGACATCCAAATATCCGTGACTGTTACCACTGATGCATAATCGTACCGTCAGATCAGGCTCTGATGCATGCTCTGGATAATCCTGCTCCTCTTCAGCCTGAAGTATGCTGCTCCTACCTTTTCCAAAAACACAGAAGGACATAATTTTCTGCTTAATTCATCCAAAATGTTTTTTTAGTTGAATAGATGGCCAAAAAATCAAAAGTATTCACATCCATTCAGCATTACTTTCCAATTTTGTAACTCCCACACAGAAACTCCTCAAGCTTCAGAAACTTAATGATTTATTGACGGCAGATTACAAAAGAAGTCGTCAAATTCTTCGCAGTTTAGTTGTGACATGCTCCGTCAAGAATTAGTTTGGGTGTTTTTTTTTACATAACCTTCCCAGTCTTTTGTGTTTGTTTGCCTGCCATCTTTAAAGGAAGAAAGCAGCACATAAATGTGTCTAAGACAAGTGTTCTTCTTGATTTTTTCAGTGACTCGCAGCTCACACGTTCAGTCTTCGACTGCAGTTTCACCAGAAACATTTGTCACATACAAAATATCTAGACAGTGCTGTGTTCAGTTTAGTTATAGATCTTCGTCTGGTTTGGTCCACTTAAATCTAAGAACTTTTTACACATTTAAAGTAATAGTATAGACTAAAAAGAGTACTAATGCATATGTTTTAAAAGCTGCTGTATCTCCAGAATGGCATGGCATGGCTACAAGTGGAAAAAAAACCCCCAGGTGCGTTGTGCTATCCTCTGTGAGGTTTCATTCCAATAACGTAGGTCCCCAAGGAGGAATAAATAAGAAATAAGGAGGAATGAGGAAATGATAGCTCTGTTTTTTTTTTGTTTAAACTGGTCATGTATAAGGTCAGTGTGGTACTCTAAAGCATACACTGATGTTTTAGTCAACAAATCCGTTTCCCAGCAGAGATGCTGACTTGTCACAGTAGGAAAAGAATTGATGGACCCGTTGTATTAAAGCATACCTTTACATCTCCCTGTTGTGACAAGTCTGTATGTCTGATTGAAGTGGTTTGTCCCTTTGTCTTGGTTACATGGCATGCCCATGACAGGAAGTCAGATCTTTTTCAACCAGGTCACTTTTTCCACCTTAAGCTAGTTAAAATTCTAAATCGTTTCAGTTTCAGATCTTCCTTTAGTCTAAATGGTAAATGGAAATGTTCTTATATAGTACCTGAGCACTCAAAGCACTTTATACAGCATGTCTCTCTCACCCAGTCACACACAAAATCACTTTTTTCTATGTCTAAGTGCTTTCTATCTAACATTCACACACATTCAACCCCAGTGAACACAGCGGATGCAACTCAGGGTTCAGTATCTTGCCCAAGTGCACTTTGACTTGCAGACTGGAGCAGTCAGGGATTGAACTGATTAGTAGATGACCAGCTATACTTCCTGAAGCACAGCCATGGTCATTCCTTCTAAGAATTACTAAAACTGAAAATGTCAGTTTGTTTTTTTCCAGAGGCTTTCTGATATTTGTCAAAGAGGTTTGGAAATTAAAATAGGGATTTGTTAGGAAAAGCTAGCTAACTTATGATCCAAGTATCCACAAAAACATCCAAGCAGTGATGCAATCAAGAACAACCAGACTTCCAATATTTCCTGCATTGGTTGTCTTAACTTCACTGCGTGCAAATACCTATGTATGTCTGGAAAATGTAGTTTATTAAATAATTTCAGCAAATAAATAGCACATCGACCAGGGAGATGGACTGTCTGTTCCATCAGCAGCGTCCTGCCCCCCTGAGCAATGCTGGTGACTCTTCTGTCTTTAGCCTCTGGCAGTAACAGTGTGGATTGTGACTGAGCAGTGGTGCTTTGATCAAAAGTTGAATCATTTACGAACATGCTACAAGTGAGCATTTAAAAGATAAGATAAGATAACGTGGTGCCAAGGAATTTGCTACATCTATTCAACAGAATAAATATATAGAACAGTAACAATAGAGATTATTATCAAGAGATTATATAAAGAAGGAAACAGAATATATACACATTTTACACATATACAGTGGTGAAATATTGCACAGATGACATTTGAATCATTATTAAATCACAAAACCTCACATTAACAGACACTGTTTGACATCTTCAGTTTAATAAATAGTAATCTAACAATTTTGAAATTGTAAGGAACACAAGGTAAAAAACAAGAACATTTTACACTTAGGTCTGTTTCTTTCTGACTTTTCCATTCTGTTCGCAAATTAGATTAGACAAAAAACATTTAACAACAAAAAAGGAAAATATATACAGTGTTGGGGAGTAACGGAATACATGTACCGCCGTTACGTATTTAAAATACAAAATATGAGTAACTGTATTCCGTTACAGTTACCGTTTAAAAAGGTGGTATTCAGAATACAGTTACTTTGTTGA